GTCTCGTGGGTGGGGGCGGGAGCCTGGGCGGCACCCGCCCGGCCCTGTCCCTCTCACTTCAAAGGGAGCTTCGCGGGAGGGGGGAGGAGGGGGACAAAGAGAAAGTGAAAGTAAGGAGAGGGACGGAACGAGCTCAGCAGGTTCCTAGGCTCAGACCCGGTGCCTTCCCCGAGGGGGGGCTGGAGGCCGGAAGCCCCAACGCAGGCCCTGCGTGGGGAGCCCCGTTCTGTCCCCTTCCCCCCACGGAGGGGGGCGGCCTTGATCCCCCGCCCACCACCGACAGCCGCAGCAGCCCTAGCCCTGGCCGCCTGTGCTCTGCCTGGCCACTTAGTTACCCGGAGGTGTCGGAACCGGCACCGGGGCGGCTGCCCACAGCAGGCAGATGGGCTAGTGGCGGCAGCGGGTTCGAGCTTCAGGAAAGAGAAAGTTCGGGGAGAGGCGGTCTCTAAAGTCCTCAGCCCCCGTCTGGAGCCCCTGGGTGGCAGGGTCGTCATCATTCGGCTAAGTCCAGGGCAACTACACGCGGGGGGAAACTGAGGCTCAGAAAGGAACAGTGACTTCCTGGAGGTCACACAGTGCGCAGCGGTGGCTTGAGCATACGCGGGGTCAGGCCCCGGGGCCGGGGTCGGGGCGTGATGGGGGCACAGAGGTGTGCGACCAAGGGGAGGAGCTTGGGAACTCCTGCCCCCACCACCGCCCAGGCTGGAAGAACCCACCGACCTACCGTCTGGTCTCCACTTTTAGGCCCTGGGACAGCCCAGCCCCAGGCAGACCCCTCCCCGCACACTGTCACAGTCTCCAACAACAGAGGGGACTGGCAGGAGAGGAAAGAGGTGACAAGGACTCGCAGCAGGAGATGCTGAGGTCCGACCAGAGGGGAACTTCCTAGGATGAGAAATTGGGGTACCCAAAGCTGGGGTGTGGTGGCCCTGGGGGCAGGGGCCTGACCTAGAAGCATGATTTCGTGATAGAGAGCACTGGGCATGGGGAGTGGTCTGTGAGAGCTCTCCCGGAGATGTGAGGTGAGTGTGGGCCCCACCCGCAGGGAAAGGGCTGGGTGTGAGCCCATCGGGGGGAGCGGTCCCTCCATCACCCCGCGGGGCTCAGGCTGCCTCCCACGTTCACCCGGCCAAGCCCGCTCTCACATCTCACGCCAGGCCCATGCCATGTCTCCCGGTGGCACCACCTTCGGGAGGCGGAGGCCGCGGATGGGTCAGGAAGGCAGGCTCACGGCCCGGGCCGCCATGTGCACACACAGCCTGCGCCCCTTCAGCTGTGAAGTGGGGAGAAGGCGAACCAGGCCCCCTCAGGGCGTACGGCACTGCACTGTCATGTCTGGTTATTCCTCCTCACACAGTGTCCCCAGAGCCCGGAGTGCCAGCCTCTGTCTCCTGGAGCTACTCAGTGATCCTCGGAGGATCTGACCTCTCCCAGAAATACAAAAGGACTCTGAGGAACTTTCCAGAAGTGTGCCTGCAACTTCCCCGAGCTTTTGGAGACGCCCAGCCCAGGAGCTTCTCACTGCAGGGCTCCGCATCCCGCAGTGTAGGGGAGGGGGGCCGAGACTGGGGGACTGGCCACCAGCCCCAGCCGGGAGCTCCCCCAAATCTGCCCGGCTGGTGGAAGCCTCCCCTGCTGTCAGTGACCCACTTGGGGAAAAGCCAGCTCAGCAAGTATTCTCTGTGGGACGAGCAGGACACAGGGGGCGGTTCCACATGGGCGGCGTTCGCTGCCAGCAGGCTGGCACCTGCTAGGGGGTGGGGGGCAGAGTCGCGTGGGGTAACGTAAGCGGCTTTCACAACCCAGAACTTTGAGTGTAGTCGGCCCCGAGCGACAGGCTCTGTCCCATCCTGGTCCCTGGAGGACGGAGCCTCAGGGGGTGGGAGCCTCCAGCGAGCTGCCAGTGTGGGAGAGGGAGAGGTGCTCGGCCGTGGAGGGGGGAGGTGGGGCCCCAGGCGTTTGTCCCACTGTCCCGCCACCCCTCAGCAGGAGCCCCAGCTCTCGTGCCCCACGGCCACCCTCCCCCACACCCCCATCACCTGGTGTGGGGCGAAGGCTCCCAGGACCCACCATGCTTGTGTGGCCTTGCCTGGTTGTGCAAGGCCCTGGCACACCTGTGTCTGGGCAAGAATATGGAAGGCTGCCAGCCCGGGCCTGGGAACCAGGCTGAGAAGCCTGGGGGTGCAGGTGGAGCCGCCCCCAGCCCAGCCTACCTGGGAGAGGCCCTGGCTGCATGGTGGGTGCCAAGGGTGAGTGCCAGCTTCACACTTTCGCCCAGTATCTATAGGACACGGGTGCTTGGCCCGGGGCCAGACGGACAGGCCGCTGAGAACCCTCACTGGGGCAGGTAGAGAGGTCCCAAGGAGGCAGCCTCATGGCCCCTCTGGCCCAGCAGGGCGGGTCAGGACGTGGGGGGAGGGGAACCCAGCCAGCCCAGAGTCACACGGCAGGAGCTAGCCTGGGGCGAGCCCTTGCTTCGCGGGACAGCTTATGTTGGGAGAATTTGCTGGGGGACCAAACACCTGATTTCAGTCCCAGCCAGGCCTCTGTCAAGACTGTGGCTGCCCACTGGCCTTAGAGAGCCATGCCTGCCAGGCCTGGGCCTGCCCCACCCACTGCACACCTGCCAGGGCAGGGCCCCACCCCACCCACCCACACCTCTGCTGCACCCGAGGGTTGGGGGTGGGGGGCTACGCAGGTCACTCCCTCTCTGGCTGCCTGGGCCAGTGGCCTGGGTGGGCCTGGATCACACCAGGTAGTGTGGGTCAGTGGCTCCAGGCAGTTCAGGGGCCGGAATGAACCCTGCTGAGAGGACTAGAGAGATGTGGGTGGAGGGCTGCCTGGAGGAGGTGAGTCCAAGCTACAGGAATGAGAAGGATTCAGGACAGAGGAGACGGGGCAGAGGCTGCTTGGAAGAAACAGCCCAGGCAGGCCAGGAGGGAGGCCAGCAGCGGGAGGGGACAGCGTGCCCTCCCCCACGGGGCCAGGCTCACAGCTCATGCTGCCTCCGGACAGGCCTGGCTAAGTGGCTCTCATCCCCGGGTGAAGTCACCGCCCTTTGACCCGGAGCCTCGGACAGACGGCCACACACTTGGTCCTGAGACCAAGACACAACCACTGGAGCAGGGCTTCGGGGACCTGGGGAGACAGTGGTCCCAGAGAGACTTTATTGTCACTCTGCCCAACAAAGACACTTAGACCCGTCTTGGAAACAGAATGGGAAGCAGGCCCACCGGCAGGGCGCAGGCCAGCCCGAGCCATGGCGGGGGCAGGGCGCCTTCGACCCCTGCGGCAGGTCACACGGGGAGGGGTGGCTCCAGCTGCAACAGGACAGCTCCAGGCTACACACCAGGCAGTGCTTCCCGGAAAGAGCCTCTCTGAGGCCCAGGCAGTGTGCGGGCAAGGCCGACAGACAAGCCCGGGCACCCCTCCACGGGGCCCAGCCTTGCACGAGGGTGCCGTGGGACTCTCCGGAGGGCCAGATGGTGGAGTGGGGGAAGGGGGCAGAGGGCAGGGGGCCAGCGGGAGCCCCTAGCCCAGCAGGCCCCGTGGCAGGTGGAACATGGCGCTGGGCGTGGGGAACTTCTCAGCCACGGCCGCAGTGCTCCAGGGCCGTGGTCAGTGTGTCAAGGCGCGCCCCACAGCACAGGGCGGAATGCAGGTCTGAGGTGGGCCCTTCCTGCAGGAAGCCCTCCGGGCCTGCTCCCACCTCCAGCAGGCGTTCAGCATCCCTGCATGGTGCACCCCGCCCACGGGGGTGGCGGTGGGGCCTGGACTACCTCAGGCCTGGCCCTTGGATGCGTCCCCCAAGCCAGGGTCCAGCCGCAGGGCCGGGAGCTCCTCAGAGGCGTGGTCGGCCCTGCCTGGGAGACCCATCAAGGCCAGGCCACCAGCCCCGCCCTGGAGGTACTGCAGCTGCCTCATTACCTCCAGGTTTCCAGCAGCTTCCGCCTGTGGGAGGGGGCACCAGGCAGGGGCTGCACTGACCACCAGGGCCGGGCCCCACCAGCCCCTCCCGCCTTCTCCCGCCCAGGCACACGGGACCCCCAGGGCGGCGCCAGGACTAGGAGGGGGACAGTCCCCTGGGCTCCTGAATGTGAGTGTGTTCACCAAGAGACCAAGACTTGGCATCTGGAAGAGGGGAAGAGGGGTCTTGTGGTCTGTGGGAGAGGTCCCCCCACAGGACGTCACCTCAGGGAGGGCAGGGGACCCTGGTGGCACCCACGGCAGGGACCCTGGTGGCACCCACGGCAGGGACTCTGGTGGCACCCACGGCAGGGACCCTGGTGACACTCACGACGAGCAGGGCGCTGCGCCCATCGTAGCCTGGCCTCCCCAGGTCAGCCCCCGCCTGCCACCGCGCCTGCAGACCTTCGCCATCCGCCCTGGACGCCAGCCTGGGAGGGAAGCCAGGAAGGGGAGCCATCAGGGCCTGCCGGGCACCCGCCAGTCCATCGGCCCACCCGCCTGCCTGGGGGCACCCTCGCACCTCTACAGAGCCAGCCCCGAACAGCTGGCCCGGGACAGGGGTGAGGGAGCCGGCGGCCGAAGGCCAGTTTCACCCTTAGGGGCTGACCGTGACTCAGGTCAAGGTGTGCACGCACGCACAGGCATGCACAGGCATGCACACACGTGCACACACACACGGTGGGCACGCACGGGCACACGCATGCTCCCGGGGCCAGCGGAGCACAGAATGCCAACATTTCACAGCGCAGCTGTCCCCGGGCGGGGCCGCAGCCTCGGGGCGTCTGGAGCGGGGGCCCCGTGGTTCAAAGGAGAGGGGGCCTGGGGGAGGGGCTCGAAGGTGGGCAGAGAGGCCTCCTGCGGGGACCGGGCCCCCCGCCCCCACTCTCCAAGAGGAGCCCACTCCCCACTCTGGGACCTGGCAGCGGAAGGGCCCCTGCCGGGTGTGCTGGTGGGGAGTTGGGGGCAGGAGAGGGAAGGGCCCCCCAAAGGGCCACTGGTGACCCCCCTCCTAGCCGGGAAAGAGCAGCAGCAGCCCTCACAGTGGTAACAGGTCACTTCTGGGGTGAATCACACCGGATGTCACCGCTGGCCCCTTTCAGACCTGCCCCCGGGCCTCCTGCACTGGCTCCCACACACGCCGGACGCTGGGAAGGGTCGACCCAGGGCCCCCCAAAGCCAGCCAAGCAGCTTGAGTTGGACAAGCCCACTCCTGTAGGACCTGGCTGTCCCCACCTCTCTCTGCCTCAGTTTCCCCATCTGTCAATGGAGCCAACAGGCCCGCCTGAGGGTACAGCTCTGAACTAAGTTGCCCAAGCCCTTCAGAGCTGAGACCGTGGCTGTAGGCAGGCCCCAGGGTCCGAGGCCCTGCCCCATCACACCTGAGCGCCCACCTCCCCTGTACTCCCCGAGAACAGCAGATGGGGGGCCGGCCAGCAGGATTGACTGACCCCCAGGAACACTGAAAACCAGCCTGGAGGGGCTGAGGCTGGGAGCCGGGGGTCTCT